TTTCTATTTGTTTAATCCTAAGTAACACCAAATGAAAGTACATTTATATTTATTTAATCTTGGAATAGCATATATAAAATCGATTAATTACTTTATGATTTGCAATGTGAGACATTTGTTTATTTGATTACATATATAGAATCCATTAATTATTTTTATGATTTGCAATTTAAGACATTTGTGTGTTAGCACTTACCAACAGTCCAATAAGTTTTTAAGGCTTATAGAATCCATTAATTATTTTTATAATTTGCAATTTAAGACATTTGTCAGTGTAACACATGGTGGTCCGGCGAGCCGGTGGTTCAACGGTGGCAGCTTGGTGGCTTCGGTGGTCCAGTTAAGCGATGACGACGTATAATTTCTAATATTTAATTGTTATATGTATAATTATTTGATGTACCTAATGTCTCCCATTTCGGCATTATCGCCGGTGAAATATTTAATCGGTTTTTTTAATATTTTTATTTTTAGTTAATTTTTTAATCGGTTTTTAATTGTATATAAATTACAACATCATAAAATAAACCCATAAACCTTTTTGAGTATTTTTTTAGTAACTAACAAAATACATTGCAATGCATATTGTAATTTACTATATGATGCATTTAATGATTTAACGTCGTATATATAGTTTGTAAAATATAATAATTTTATATATTTGTTCTTTTTAACTTATTTTTGAAAAAAAATAAGTTTGAAAAAAAATATTTAAATAACAAAAAGTAAATATAACTAATTAATTGGTAAGAAAAATATAAATATTAAAATAATAAAATTATTAAAAAATAATAATAATTTAGTAATTAAATAATAAAGTTTATGAAATAATTAGGTTGTAAGATAATTATTATTGAGTATAATGTTTAGACTAAATCATATGATAATAATGATAATAAAAAAAGTAGCATGGAATTGAGTGTAATATAATAAAGTGGTGTGTACATAGTAGAACCTACGGATGAGATTTAAAATTGAAAACTGGAACGGAACCAGAATGGGACTGAAACCAGAACTGTTAGAACAGAAATATATAGAACCAATTTCGGTTTCGGGTTTAGAGAATGACTTTATCTGGGTTCCAGGTAATCCGGGTTTCGGTCAATCGGGTATGGATAAACTGGGTTTAAGAACCGGAACTGGTGTTAGGAACCGGAACCACTTTTAGGGGTCGTAACCGGTTTCTTTGAAAAAAATTTAACATGCATATCTCATTCGTTCCAAGTCGAATTGATATTACGTTTTTTCCAAAGTATAGTTTAGAGTTTGTACATGATTTTAGAATATAAATTTGTCATTTTTATTTTTATATTCATTGACTTACAGTCTCCCAAAATCAACATATTAAAACTGGAAGTTTTTAGTTTTTTAGCTTTTTTTGTATTCTATGAAAATTTTAAAACATACATATCTAATTCGTTTGAAGTCGGATTGACATGAGCTTAGACTATAATTTTGTCATTTTTGGTTTGATATTCAAGGAATTACAGTCCACCAAAGTCAGGATATCAAAGTTGAAAATTATTAATTTTTCAGTTATTTGTTTTTGTACTTTGTATTCTGTGAAAATGTTAAAACATACATATCTCATTCGTTTAAAGTCGGATTGACATACGGTTTTTTCCAGAGTGTAGTTTAGAATTTGTACATGATTTTGGCCTATAATTTTTTCAATTTTAGGTTTATATTTAATGACTTACAGTCCCCCAAAGTCGAGATGTTAAAGCTATAAGTTTCTAGTTTTTCAGTTTTTTTGTATTTTGTGAAAATTTTAAAACATGCATATCTAATTCGTTTGCAGTAGGATTGACATGCAGTTTTTTCCAACTTGTTTAGAGTTTGTAGATGAGTTTAGACTAGTATTCAATGAATTATAGTCCCCCGAAGTCGGGATATTAAAGTTGAAAATTTTTAACTTTTTAGTTATTTGGTTTTATATTTTGTATTCTGTGAAATTAGTAAAACAGACCATCTCATTCGTTTAAAATCGGATTGACATACAATTTTTTTCAGAGTGTAGTTTAGAGTCTGTACATAATTTTAGACTATAATTTTATCAATTTTGGGTTCGTATTCAACAACTTACAATCCCCAGAAGTTGAGATATCAATATGAAAATTTTCAAAGTTCAACCCACTAAGTAGTAAGTAATTACCAAAAAACTCCGGTTTTTCCGGTTCTAAACTCACTTTACCCGGTTCCACCCCTACCCACTTTGATGTTTCTGAGTTTTCCGGTTCTAGACCCACTTTACTCGATATCATACTTGCAACCAGTTCCTATATACCGGTCTGGTTTCCAGTCCTACAAAATCCTGTTAACCGGTTCTAGGTTTTCTGGGTTCGTGTTCATCCGGACCGGGTTTGAAGTCACTTTCATCCCTAATAGGACCCCACTAAATTCGCCTAATCTTTTCGAAATCAAACTCACTAGTTTTGGCATGGCTCATGTAAAGCCCAATTGAGCCCAAATAAATCCCGAATATTTTATATGGAAAAAAGCTTGTGAAGGTATGCATATTATATTTGGCCTACATAGTTACTTTTCAAAGCTCGGGAAAAGCATCGGTCAAGGTCTTTATGTTCACCACTAGTATCATTACCTTCTAAAAATAAGAACAAAGAGCAACAAAAGATAAATGTTGAGGTTAAAGCAATGATCAAAAGACGGATAATTTACTAACTTGTTATAGCGGAAACAAGACATTGGTAATACTCTTATTATAGATGTGTTCATGATCAATAAGATGATTCTTCATTCGCCTGTCCCACATTGAAAGCCCTATTGTCCAAAAATAATATTATCATAACTACAGATCCGTTATACAGAAAAAAAAAATTGCCTAATCAAAGTTTAGGTCGCCAATTTACAAAAGATTATGAAACTTGAGGATCATTCTTATAATTCACTCTATATTTTTCAAAAGAATTGTACTAACAAACATCCAACAATTGGTCAAAAAAATCATAAATGCACATTTACAAAGGGCCTTCATGCATCAAATCCATTCGAGTCCCTACCAAGATCTTGACAAGGTGAAAAGGATTGTCATGATAATTTATAGGGACAAACCATGTCAAACAATCCCCCCCCCTAGCCCCTAGCCCCTACCCCCCCCCCTACTATTTCTTTCCCTGTCCACAAAAATCATATGCAGTACAATTCCCTCGTATCAATCAAACATTAAAAGCAATTGAAAATTTCCCAAAATAACTTTACCTACACTTGATGCAATTTAAATAAAAAAGAATCATAATGTACAAATAAAAATCTGATCTTGATGTTGTTTCAAGTAAATAGGGGGGCCCGGATGAGTCGTCTGATACTCCGATCTTGGGGATCAAATAACTTTACAATCCTGTTGCAAAATGAAGGAAAAAATTAGCACATGGTCACATGTAAGTCTTATATAAGGCTATACATCAATATGCCATTTCTTGATTGAAATAAAAGATTCTTTAATGTTGTACATTGTACAACATATTATAAGTTTTCAATTGAGTGTTTTTGTTTTGACCAATGGTTTGTTTGTGAGGATGCAAAGGGGGGTATTGGATGTACGTTTTCAATAGCTTGATTATTGCGACTTGAATAATAATAGATAATCATTTTTCTTACAACTTCTTGCATGTGTCTCAATTAGGGGTGACAATTTATGACACGACATTACAAAAATACACGACACGAAATGAAGTTGGGATGAAACTGAAATTTGAATTCGTGTTCGTGTTTGTGTTAACAATAAAAAAGCACGATGTCGTGTCGTTGCGTGTTCGTGTTCAAAATTCGACATGAAATTGACACAATTTAGCAGTTCTTTATCATGTTTTTTGTGTTTGTCGTGTTATATTTAACAAAATATTAATTAAATAAACTAGTTTTTATTATATTTGTCGTGTCGTGTCGTGTCGTGTTTGTCGTTTTTTAATTTGTTCGTTTTCGTGTTAATTAAAAAAGAACACGACATTGTGTCGTGTCGTGTTCGTGTTACATAAAATTTTGTCGTGTCGTGTCGTGTCAGACAGAAACACGAAACGATAGCACGATTTGCCACCCTTAGTCTCAATGCCTCTAAATCTTATTGAACTTAAATAATCAGAAAATCATAATCATAAATCATGTTTTATCTCATTACCATGACTTACGCAACAATCTTCTTGAGTTGTTTCTAATCAAGTAATGCGTTAAACACGCTCAAAATCATAATCATAATTACCATGACTTACATAACAATCTTCATGAAATAATTGAATTGCAAGCTTAAAATCAGGGTAATTAAGTAGTAGTTTAAGATATTTATCTTCTTAATCTTGTTACTTTTTCACTTTCAACTTTATCGCTAGTGTTTGCAATGTGTTTTTATCTAAAACACCTCATTTTTACAAAACCAACATTTATTACAACCGATTTAATGCATTTTTGGAAAATATTATACTGTTTTGACACCATATTGGCAGAAAGGATATGTTTGGATGTGTGTTTAAACTGATTATTGCGATCTTAAGTGTTTGGGGACATTGATAATGTTATAATTTTTTATATTTTAAGGCTTAATCTTATTTGCATAAACATGAAGGAGTTTTCCATAAGAAAACATATTTTTAGGTAAATGTAAACTTACCTAGCTACCCATAGCTTTAATCAACTAATTATATTATTCATATCACAATAATCACTTCGATAATGCATAAAAGGAATGAAGATGTCATCATGCATTCAAAACATAGTCAAATTTGATCATAATTTCCAACATAACTTTCTTTAATTTTTTTTTTAATATAACCAAATCATCCATAAAACCACAACCCAATTATTCCATTAATTGCTCAAATTTTCACAAAACGATCATAATTGCATAAATCTAATTCTTAATTCTAATTCTTACACAACATATCACAACAACAACAACAACAATACAAATCAACTTAACACCTTACATAAAGATCATGAAATGATGATACCCTTTAAATTTCACGATGTTCTGATTCTAGAAAAGTCCTTCAAGCAGGAAAATGCAAACTTTTACCCGTTGAAAATTTGGATCTTGATTTTTTCGATTTAGTGCATGTATCTCCCTCTTTATCATAAATAATTGTGTAATTTGAGCTACTTATGTCCCTAAAATAGCAGAATTTATCATCACTATAATTATACATCTCTTGTGTACTCCCCAAACCACTAACAACTAAATTCCCTTTCACAAACATCGAGCCGTGACCATTTTGTATGTTTTCAAGAACACTTGATGAAGATTTAGAACCAAAATTATCGATCTTTTTCTCATTGAAACCCAAAGTAACATTCGCCACCTCCTCATAGCTTTTGCCTCCTTTGTCCACTGTATCCGAGTATATATAAAAAGAAAAAGATTTTAAAGATTTTGTGTTATGAACAAAAGATGGAATCTTGAAATCGACACTGTCATTAAACTCGATTATTTGGTTCACAATTTGTAAATCCCCATTTTTCGACATCACCATGATGTTAGTGTAATTGAAATCTTGAGTTGACTCGGTTACTATTTTCCCAAATGACGATTCTACCCATCCGTTTGACTTTATTGACCTTTGGACACTAGTAAGGAATGTCCCATTAAGACCCGTGAAATTGGACACCAAAGATTCATGAAGTGGAGAGATTTTTTGATTCAAAAACATCCCTTTTGTCTTCTCACTCTTTGCATCCAACCATACATGTAAATTTGCATCAATATACCAAACATTCAAAGCATTTGTGACACCAAAACCGAAATCATGGAGTTTTCCATTTAAAAGTGCTCCAAGAAACGGAGTGATTTCAATATCATATGAAGGGAGATCGAATGATCCAATCGCAGTTATTGGTCTCCATAATAATGGATTAATACCTCCTGTGAAAACTACAGTGAAAGGCCAAACTGCGCCAACTATTTTTCCATCTAAACTTACAATAACCTCTCTAAAAGGTCCATCACCAGGATACCCAGATAAATTATTAGCTGAAATATAGTCGTTAGGGAGATTTGTAGGCCAAAACTCATCGTTTTCATGAAATGAGACATACACTTCAAGAACAGCTCGATATGCATTTTGGGGAATCGCAAACTGTTTTGACTTTACATCAGTTGAATTCTGGATTTCGAACCATAATCCATCGTTCCCTGGTAAGTTTCTTGAAATGGGTATAATCAAATCAGCCCATTCGTTATGGGCATGATTCGAATTAACAGGTTTCTTCTCGAAGGGATAATAATGAATACTAACATTCACATGGTATATACCGGTGTAAGTACTATCAACAATATTTCCCAAATAAACATCGAGTGTTTGTGTTTGATTGGACATAAGCAATGAATAATACCTAGTAATGTCCTTCTTCACAGTCCAAACAATCCCGGTGGCTCTAGGTTCAGCTGTGCAGCTTCTGAGCAGCTCAACGCCGCCGAGCCAAACCCCAAAAATCCGATCGAATTGACGACCTTTACATGTAGCTGTCCATTCGAGAACAATTTTTGCAAAATCGGTTGATGGGCAATTTGACGGCGGGGTATATTGGGCGGAGACTGGTGGACTGCCGTAGGTGTATCCGAAATCATGTTGTAGAAGAAGGGTTGAGCAGGGTTTTGTGTTTGGGAGTTGGATTGGTTTCGTTACTTCAAAGAAAGTGGTGGGTGGGATGTCGTTAGTGGCGGTGGGATCGGAGGTGAGCTGTTGCCGGAAGATTGTGGCTTTAGGAACGGGATTGGCGGCGGAGATTAGGGAGAACGAGAGGAGGAGGAGGAGGAGGAAAGGAAGGAAGCTGGAAGCCATGAGAATGGTGATGATTTTGGTTGAGAAAGTGTGATTCTTGTAAAGATCGGTAGGGGAGAAAAACAATGTTAGGGTTGGAGTGTAGCGTTGAGATCTGAGATTTTAGAGGGAAAAATCATAACAAAATCAATTCGTTAAAGATAAGGTTCCACAGATAATTTAGTATTTATTTTAAGATTAATAATAAAATTAGCATACTCGGTTTAATAGGTTTTTCGTCATTTAGCTTAATGTTTTGTAACCTACATTAACCTACAATCCTACATTAATGTCATGGCTTTAAATAATAAAACCCCATTAAACAATAAAAATTGTTAAGCAAAACCTTTAAACATTGAGCAAAGTAATTAAGTTAGAAATGCAAGACAGTTAACAGAACTCTTTAACTTTTTTTTTTTAAATCTGTTACTAAACTTACACCTAATCAATAAAACCCCATTAACAAAAAAGCTGTTAAACAAAACCATTATTAAGCTATATTACCATTTTTCTGTCCACATAACCATTACGCAAAACAAAATGTATCAAACCCATTTAACAGAAATTAATCTTCGAGACTTAACAAATCAAAACAAAATCAGTTTACAAAGCATAAATTAGTTGGAATAATGGGTGTAAGGTGGGCCCATTTTTTTGCTGGTTTGTAAGGTGGGCCCATTTTTTTTAATTATAAAACTTAATTAATCAATATAAGAAAATGGAAAAAAAAGAACTAAAAGGGCAAAACTGTCCTTTCAATTCATCCAGGGACCAAAACCACGGGAAATTCCTGATTTTGGATCTTCCATGCAAATCGAAAACTTTTTGGACTCTATCCACAGTTTTTGCATAACCACAGGGACCAATTTTGCAGTTTTGTCATTTAGAAATAAAGGGAATAAGCTTACTATCTTTCCGACGACGGTCGTGTGCGGCAACAACTGGTGTCGCTCAACAGGCGGTGAGCGACAGTCGATGGTGTTAATTTTTTGGATGAGTATCGGCGTTGTGCAGTGCAGCTGCACTAAGTTCTGACGGTGGGGGTTGTGGAGTGCTAACTTCCGGCGATTTCTATCTAGTTTTTGTTAGTTGGTAACTTGGTATAATGGATTCATGGTTGCTACGTCAACATTCACGAGAGAAGAGCAGAGAAGAGCAGAAGAGAGAGAAGAGTGATGTTAAGGCTCGTTTGATAGTTGCTAACTGGATTAGAGCTGACCGAGTAGAAGCTGACTAGGTTAGAAGTTCTAACCGAGTTAACTTTTGATTGAAACTTGCTGTTTGATTTTGCATCTGACTTACTGTATAAAATGACTATATTACCCTCAAAGTAGATAATTTAATAACACATCATTAGTTGCAAGAATAAATTCCAAAGAATATGGTTCTAAAAGTAGATAATTAAATAACCAAAAACAAATTACTTTTATTTTCTTGTCAAACAAAACATGAGGTGTATGATTGACAATTGGATGCTAGATTCATAAGATATTAACATCTCTCAAAGGCCAAATTTAATCCTAACTAGATGAGGAGCCCCGCGTTGCGGGGATGGATCTAAACGGATATGATCATTTTTGGCATCTGGTGCTTCTTATGGATGGTTTTGGAGGATATTAATCTATCTCTAAGAAGTACAAATTCAGAATTTAATCCAACAACTATCTCTTGTGTTGTGTACTGATGTCTTCAACAGGTAAAATGTTTTGCCAAATAAAGTGAGTACCTCACATGAACCCAATTTAACCGCATAAAGATTTACCCGGCTACCTTTCTTTTCCATAAAGACACAATAAAGAAAAAAAATTAAAAAAAAAACACAATTTATAGACCGGCCTCTTTTAAGTTCTTTTCCAACCATCAAGTTGACAACTTCAAACAACCTCTTAAATTTGGATAAAACCTTTAAACCATCAAACCAATTCCTTCTTACCATTCACACCCTTTAACCTTGCTTTTAGTTCCCTCTAAAATTTAACCACAAAAAGAAACAAAGATAAAATTAACTTTCATAGATTAAATTATAAATAAAATTATCGTTCCAAAAGTTTAGGAATATGATACTTTAAAAAATATATAAAAGGGTAAAAATGGAAATGAAAATACCAAGAACCGAAAAGAAAATTATGAACCCAGCTGAGATTTGCACAACTCTTCAATTGCTTAAAAGGGTGACATCTAGCAGACCCGCGTTCACACTGCAAGGCGCAACCCGTTAACTTTTTTTTTAGTGTTTTAGAAGGAAAATAAAAAAATAAATAAATAATTTCAGCTATATAATTTTAACAATAATAGAACAACAATTCAACATATTTCTCAAGTAATTCTTCAATAACAGAAGAAAGTAAACTGTAATTTTTTTTCTAAAACAAAATGAAGAATGGGAGGATAAAGGGATTGATTGATGCATGTTTATCAATGGGATTTATAAAATGTAAGACCAAAATGTAAACATGCAGCTCTTTGGTACAATTCTAAGCCATCTCCATTATTTTAATTTGTGTATAGTTAAATTGTAAGACCAAAATTAAACAAAAAAAATAAAATATAAATATTGGGATTTATAAAATGTAAGCATACAACTCTTTGGTACAATCAATAACTGCTACAAGAATCACATTAATGGCATGTTTCCATGATTTTGATCAATTTGTTTGTTCTTTGTAAAATGGGACTGAAGTTGCAATGCCTGCAGAATTTATGCAAATATCGAAATTCTCATACACTTGAAGGTGTTTTTCAAATGTAGCAACTACTTCTCCTGTGAATTGAATGTAGTAATGATTAATGGAATTTATAGATTATTTGAGTAAGAAAAATGAAGAGTTTTTTACTTTTTACCTTTGTTACTGACATCACATCTTACAAACATAACAGATGGAAATTTTAATCCTAAACGGAATTTGAGATTTTGTTTTTGTCAAAGTGATGCAATTTCCTCTCCTCTTTCAGCAGAAAAATCAACAACTGCGACAAAAATACCGTTTTGGGCAAAAGCCAGCCCTACCTGTTTGTATATCAAATTCAATATTCATATAGGCTAATTAACAATTCAGGTGTATAATATGAGTTTTTTTTTTCTTTTTGTAACATTTGGATCAATTTCCATTGAGGACCTGTGAATTAGTATATATCTTTGACTTCAAAAATCCAATTGTATCTGTCTGTTTGGAACAAAGTTGTACCTGGGATTCAAAAACAAAAAGCATTGTTTCATTCTTTGATTAGTTTGTTTGAGTAAATCTCATAAACCAATAGATGATCAGTTTCAGTTAGAGACTACTTAAAAAATATGAGAATTCAGTAAAAACTTTAAACAAACAGTTGGTGGGCAAATGTTTCAACATGTAATCAAAGTTAGCATACCATTCCAAATTGTTCCAATACCTGTATCGCCCTATCAACAAACTGCAATCCTAAGCTCGGTGATCTTCAAACGAAGTCATTTACAGTCTGAGATAGAAACAACCCAAAAAAAGTCAACATAAGAACAAATATGGTGTCATGAGCAAAAAAAGTAAAATTTAAAAGTCATAAAAAGGAAGATGATGCTCTTATATCAATCATGTCCTCGACTAAAGCTGGAGAGAAATAAAAACCAATAAAAAAACACAAATAGACCCATCAGAAGAGAAGTAAATTGTTATATATCTCGTCACCACCAGATCAAATACTGATAAAAGAAACTCATACCTTTTTCCGACAGCACACAGTAGATTTAGAGCTTCATTCATACACCTCCATCCGATTCATCTTCCCCAAAACATTTTTTTTTCCATGCGTTTAATGGATTTCATCACAAAAAACTTAACAATTTGTACTAATTTACATCCAAAACAAAAACAAAACGTATTGTAAAGAAATTAATGTTAAGGGTTTACCTGATAAAAACCAATTGAAGCAGCAGTCGAAAATTACAACAATCTGGAAATCAAAATAAATCCCAAATCTGAAAAAAGACCTTGAAATCCGAAAGTGAAGCAGGAGCACCGCCAAAAGATCGACAATTATACATTAGAAGCACCTCGAGTTGGAAAAACCAATCGATTTGAAAAACCAAAGTGTGAACTATAGGGAAGAAACTCGAATGAAGAAGTGATTTGAAGAAAATGATTGAAGTGGATTTTACCTGAATGAACGGTTCGTCTCCTTCTGCTCATACAAAGGAGCCAAGTATATTCTTAGCTCCCGATTTCAAGTTTTTTTAATGTTTTCGTGTCCCTACTGCACCGCCCCTACATAGTGCTTGGGCGATATTTGTCCGATAGTTCGGTTCAACGTGGTGCCAGTTCGATAACGTGGTGGAAGCTCGATATGTACTCTGTTTCGAACTGGGTTATGCAAGAAACCAACGGTTGATGTTAAGGAATCTTCTGGCCTTTGAGCGGTGGTAAAGTGAGGAAGAAACTGGAGGTGTCATCTACTCCAAAAGACCGAAAGACGGAGGCATATGAAAGAAAGAAAGGCGGTGGAAGCAAGTGTATCTGATTGGTCGAGGGAGGCGGTGAGTAAATGTGGATGAACGATGATGGGGCGGTTACCATGGTAACATTAAACCCAAAAAGAAAACAATAAAAATTAAAAAAAAATAATAATAACAGTAGGGAAAGTGTGATTGGATAAGAAAACGGCGAACGAACCCTAAACGAAACACGTGGGCGAAAGGCAAACAAAATCTATAAAAACTGTCAAACACCACCCTCCAAAATAGGGAAAACGGACAAAAACAGAAAAGGTAAACAGACAGTAAAAGAAATGAGCATTTGTGACAAAAAAGAATGAGGTTTACTGTTCCCCAACATGGTCCAAGTTTAATATGTATATATAATGAGTTGAAAAATGCAAAACTCTTATATAAATCTAGACAAAACCTTTATTCACACATTTGATCTACATTTTTAAACAAAATCGAAATCCAGTAAGAAAACATACCCAAATATATATCCCAGTTCTTTTATATATAATTGTTCATTAAAATAGTTCAATACATATCTATTGAAGGCAAACGGGCAACAAGCTGC